GACAAGATTTCACGCGATTGACATGTCTACTGTTGCATCATTGTATCTTCAGGGGTGCAAGTCAGATTAGCCTTATGTACATGAGAAAGATGAGAGAATGACTGTAAAGTGTTCAAGGTAGTGTGCATGCTTCAATGCCTGCCAATTCTGATAATCAAACATTGCATATTTGAATTGTTTCTTTTTCAACGGCATATTGCCTTGACATCTCCTTGTAATTATATATTAATAATAGTATTATTATTACGATTATGCCAAACATTCATTGTTGATAAGAATCTTATAATTACCCAGCAAGATCTGCTTCGCATTTTGATTCCAATTAATAAAAATATCAATACAAATAAAAAAAGTACCTCTGGTTGCTATTAACACGATTTCTTTAGGAGACTCAAACCAAACCATACAACAACACTCACGTTTTGTCACCTTGGACTCTGTCAAAAAATAAATTGTTTTTCCAAAAAAAAATCAAAATAAACCAATAGGTTAAATGGGGCATGGACAATAAAAACGACCCAAACATCAAAAATCATGATTTTGAGTCTAAATGAAATTTATTACAGAGATTAATTTTAGCTTAGAAACCATATCCACTTTGCTTAATAAAATTTTGAGATATTTTCTGTTAAAGTTCTTAAAAACAATAGGTAATTACTTGAAATGCAGATCTTTTTTTTTCGATTATCTCAAAATCGTGACTTTGACGCTTGTGCTGTTTCTATTGTCCATGCCCAAATAATTAATGTGGACACTTCGATCAAATCACAAACTTCTTTTTTTCTTGTAAAAATGTCCAGGAAACAGTAAAGAAAACAATCAAAAGCCATTGCTGAGGATCATGAGTAAGTGTTTATCATAAGAGTGGTGGTGGTGGTCGCCACTTGTTGTCACTCTAATTTAATTTAAAAACTCTTTCTAAATAATATTTATGTATTTAGGACGATTCAAAATTTTTCATCAAAAATAGTTCATAGCACATATTTAATGTGCTCTCTAGAGGCATTACAAATAAATTTTAATTTATTGATTAAAGAAATTTTACAGGAATTTGTTATTATTGATGTAGCAGAAGATGGCATTACTTTTAGTGTATCAAGCATTTATAATACTCAAGGTTCTATTCAATTATTAAAGATCATTATCATGCTATAATCATATTAATAAATCAACATAACTTCTTAAAAAAAAATTAGCAACAGTGCTTTGGAATTCTAAAATATTTGAAAGCTACGATTATAACAACAATGTTTCTGGCCGAATCCAACTCAAAGTTCATTTTGATTCTTTAATTTCTATTTTAAAAACTTTTGATATTACACTTTTACATGAAAGTACTACTCATTGATTGATTTCATATGATGTTGTTGCAGCAGCCTTATGATCAAGTAAGTAATTATTAATTATCATCATCATTATTTAAATAAATTGAAAAGGTGGAGGAAGGAATTATTGATAATTGATTAATTATAAATTCTTTTGAATAAAATAAATAGAACAAATTTTTTTTGGAGGTGTAAGAAAAGAATCTAGGCTGACTACTTCTTTAATCAATGATGAAAATAACAAATTTAATTTGTTAAATGACCAATATGTAAGACAAAATACTCTTTATGAAATTAAGATCAAGGTAATTAAAATAAATAATAATAAAGTACCAAATTATTGTCATAATTATATAACACTATCATTTATATTAGTAATTGACTTTAGCACATTAAGAAACTTTTTGTTTTCTCTACCCAAATATTAGTCACTATATTTGAAACATTGCTTAATAAACATTGGAGTTATGAAACTTTCAGTGACTAACATTTGGGTGGAGAAAAAAAAAAGTTTCTTAATGTGCTAAAGTAAAATTACTAATATAAATGATAGTGTTATATAATTATGATAATAATTTGGTGCTTTATTATTTATTTTAATTACCTTGGTCTTAAGTTCGTAAAGAGCATTTGACTTGCATATTGGTCATTTAACAATTTAAGTTCGCTATCTTCTTCGATTCTATTTACTTTATTCAAAAGAATTTATAATTAATCAATTATCAATAATTCCTTCCTCCACCTTTTCAATTTATTTAAATAACTAGAGTGACGACGAATGATGGGAGATAACCACCACCACCACTCTTATGATACACACTTACTCATGATCCTCAGCAATAGCCATTGATCGTCTTCTGCTGACATTTTTTACAAAAAAAAAGAAGTTTGTGATTTGATTGACGTGTACACAT